AAAAACAAACATACTTGTTAAATTAGACATCTTGTGATCGCTCTCGTCTTGCTGTGTCAGATCAAATACGCATTTCAAGTCGTGTGTCGTAATAGCTTAATGTTAAACCACACAAAGTGCCACTTTATTTGCCAGTGACACAATCTCTTGTAACCGTCAGACATGGCCACAGTGTAAACAATCATGTCTGTACCAGACAATCGAGTGATTGATATTATGAGCACCGATCCACGCCGTCGGGGTACAGTGACACAATTAACAACGCAGTTTTTCGAATATCCGTATGATAAATATAGCCAGGACTGATTGTTGAAACCGGAAATTCGTTACTTATATTCAGGCGTGGAGCGATATAGATTCAAACGAGGAAATGGGTGACATTAAAACATTTATTAATCGTGGCATTACTTTAATGACCGGGATGAGAAACACACCTAATACTACAGATGACCTAATTGGTATAATGGTTTAGTGAGTGAGTGATTGAGTGAGTGAGTGAGAGAGTGAGTATGGTTTTACGCAGCTTTTAGCAATATTCCAGCAATATCACGGCGGGGGACGACAGAAATTGGCTTCACACATTGTACCCATGTCGGGAATCGAACCCGGGTCTCCGGCTTTTATAATGGTTTAGGAATCTGTGAGCAAGGCGTTGATACTGAAGAAAGGTTGTGTAGAGTGTACTGGAAAGAGTAGCAGGTTATACAGATTTATTCACGTCTTTTATGATACTAACTCCGAGCCGCACATTCCTTTTTTCATCCTGAATTCCGAGCGCTAGGCTGGGTAACAACAACTACCATCCTTGGTACAACGCGGCCAAGGGATTGTAACATCGACCTTTCTAGAAGGCGCTCTATCCACGGCTGCGGTCTGACGAGTGATAGAGTGAATACGTTTAAAGCGATTTTATTGTAGTATTAACTTGAGTTAATAATAACGCAGAACCTTTTGCTAAGGTCACCTTGGGATCAGCACAAATTCAAGCAGGACAAATTAGAATATACACGAACATTTTAGTAGGGATCGTTTGTTTGTTGTTTTTTCTTCGCAGTTAGTAATATTCCAGCAAGGTAGCGATATCGTGATCTACTCTAGTCCAAACAAACCAGTGATTGATATTATGAGCAACAAGTTACCTAGCCTGATCACCCTATGGATTCTCCCCTCACGAAAAGCTATAGGATGTTTGAGCCTTTTCTAACCCGGGTCACCTACGGCGTAGATATTGTCAGGTTGTTTAGCTATATTTCAGCTATATGACGACGGTCTGTAAATAATCAACCAAGCTCGCGAGCCTGACCACCCGATCCCGGTAGTCACCTCTTACGACAAGCACAGTCGCGTCTTACGGCAAGCATGGGTTTCTGAAGACCTATTTTAACCCGGATCTTCACAGGTGGGATTGTCAGTAAGACATCGGGTTCGGTAAAGCGAGTGTCCACTGTTGTTAGGGATATCAATATCAAGACCAATTTAAGTCTCATACATTACCTTACATAACAGCTTCGATCAGAAATGATTTTATCATTCTCTAGAAATAATGATATTTTTACTGATATTGTTTCATTTTAAGACGACATTGCTCTTGTCCTGTCGTGCGTCACTAACTACACACGATCAATCATAGTGAACAATATCTAGATTTCCTGTTCGTTCAAAGAAGTGAGAAAATAATGTCATCAAATACCTCATTAACAGACAAATTGGCCACACTGGTGCAAATGTTGTGTAATTAGCTCTTCTGAATTCTAACGCCAGAACACCTGCATGACAATGTCCAATGCGTTGTCACGCACGCGGCTCTCACCTCCTTAGCTCAAACGCGTTACAATCTTTGTTCCATTGCTTCTATAGACCCATGCGATGAAACGACGCTGAGCGTGAAGTAGTGCATCTAATGGCATTTGAAATAAAATTGTGTGCACAACTTTTGCACTTGTTAAAAGTCATGAATAGAAACCTAGTTAACTTGGGGAAAATATTCACGATCATTTCCGACTTTGGCAATTTGAAACCATGAATGACCGTTGCATATTTACGCTCGTGCATGATGACGTAATTGATTTGGTTCAATACGTGATTTTAATTGATACAAGGAAAGGACAAGACGACTTGTTCACAGAATAACAAACCAGAGCAACTTTTGTTGGCAAGAAGAGGATTGCATAATTTTAACTAGTGAGATCTTGCCTTTCCAGCGGCCGCCATTGGAATAATGCCAGTGCCCACGACACAATCAGGCTGTATTCTGAAGTCACAGCGTTCAGGAACCACCGTGTCTCGCATTCTATAGCATTGTGTTATCAAAAAAGGTTGTCTGTTTTCCGTTGAATGGAAAAGAGCATTGATGACACTCATTAAGTGGCAATGGATTCGGTATGTGTTTTACTAGCACATCTCCGCATCTCGACGGCCGGATGATGATGCTATAGAAGCACATCTATCCTACAGCCTTTCATCCTATTTTCAGTGGTGGAGAAACAGTAGACAGCTGTCACACTGTTATTGATATGTTCTTCAAATACTTCTTTCTTAGTCAGGTGTCAAAGTTAAATCTGTAATCAGGAAGTATTTCTGTCATGAAAAATTGGAAAACTGCGGAGGGTTGTACTTGAGCGAGATATGGGGATGAGGAAGAGTGGAGATAAAAGGAGAGGGTGAAAGGTGAAAACGTGGGAGAGACAGGCGCTGAGAGTGGAGGTGTTTAAAGAAAAGGGAGATAGAGAGAAGAGAGACAGACGGAGAGATGAGGAAATTACGACGGGAGAGAAGTGTAGGAGACAGTAACAGTGAGAGAAAGAATGGTGAGAAAGGGAGGCGGAAGACGGGGATCGGGGGAGTGGCTCAAGAGAGGGATTAAGAGATAGAGAGAGGGGGAAAGGGGTATGAATGGAGGCGGGAGAGGGTATAATACTGAAAGTATACGTGCTCTTATTTCTCTTATAACAGTGAGTGAGTGTGTGAGTGAGTGAGTGAGTGAGTGAGTGAAAGTTTTTTCAGCATACAGCATCAATGTAATGATACGTATATATAAACAGTAAGAATCGATATTCGGACCTTGTGTTAGGGAGAACACCCCAGCTACTTCCCTAACGCCGGAGGAGACCGACACTCGTCCATGTATGATGCTATAACCTGTAGAAATAGGACATGCGAACAGAGGAGAAGAGGGCCTTTCTTGTCCAGGCAATCTCATTATCTGCTGTAGCAATATAGAGAAGTAATCTTAAGATGCCTTTATTGCACAGAAAGGATTTATTTGTGTCTGACGAGGTCGACATCGACAATATGCATCCAACAGCACTAAATCTGATCAATTGGCAGGATTCTATCTCCACGAGAGAGAGAGAGAGAGAGAGAGAGAGAGAGAGAGAGAGAGAGAGAGAGAGAGAGAGAGAGGCATTGTTTTATATAATAATCCAATGAAATCTTTTTTTATAGATAAAGAAATATGTTCTCTAAGGTAAACGTGTATTGTGCATATAAATATAACATTTCTAACAAATCTATTGGTAGTTCTGGGAATAAACGACATATGTAATTAATATATTTTTGATATTTGCTGGGTTCATATCCGTGTTGTTCCGTAAAAGCTTGGGTTAGATGTTTGTAGTATATTTCATTGTTTTCACCACAGCAAGCAGATTCATTTCACAAAAGATCAGAGGTCCAGATTAAGAAACAATAAACTGATTAAATTAGATTTCTTGTGATCGCTCTCGTCTCGCCATGTCAGATCAAACACGCATGTCAAGTCGTTTGTAGGGGGACACCCAGCTAACAATTTCACGTTGTGACAACGTCGTGACAACGTTGTGTTTACGTTGTGGCAACGTTGCGGATGTTACGTCCATATAACGTTATTCTGTGGACTCCCATTTATGTTGTCACAACGTCATGGCCTAACGTTGTGTAACGTCATATTCACGTCGTCACAACGTTGTGATGACGTTGTATTTTACGTTGTGGGAACGTTGCGGATGTTACGTCCATATAACGTTATTCTGTGGACTCCCATTTATGTTGTCACAACGTCATGGCCTAACGTTGTGTTACGTCATATTCACGTCGTCACAACGTTGTGATGACGTTGTATTTGACGTTGTGGGAACGTTTTAATTTTACGTTGAGGGAACGTTGTATTTGACGTTGTGGTTATGTTGTATTTTACGTTGTGGCAATGTTATAATAATGCGTCCCTACAACGTTATTCTGTGTACTACTATGGACGTTGTCACAACGACACGAAATAACTTTGTGTTACAAGGATGAAATACGGTTGTGACCATTCCACACTAAAATGTTGTAAAAACAACCCCAAAACTTGTTCCGGAAATGTTTTAGAATATGCTTTAGTCACGTGAATGTGTATAATTCGAGATACCTTTTACCAATATTTTAAAACCAGGGCGTCGAATAGCCCGGTTAACAGTGAGTTAGATCGTGTTTTGCTAACAATGTTCAAAATGTAAAAACACCACTGAGCTGTTAACTAGATACATGATTTGACTATAACAAAGTCAGACACCATTACCCCTACAGGCTTGTACTGAAAGAAAAAAAAGAAAAGAATGGCAGACATTGTAAGGGGTTGACCATGTGATATTTTCTGGGGAGGGTTGGGTCCTGGAATATTATCGAAAAAATATATTGTCACCGAAAATTCTTGACAAAAATAATTACGGTTCAGACTGGTGAAAGAAATGCCTGCCACAAAAAATGACATAGATCTAGGTGCAAGGTGCTTATCTTCAGGCTCATAGAGTTAAAGAAAATCATATATCTGCTTTTGTAGCTGTGACCGAAAACATATGTAATCTCCATAGAAAAGTTCCAGGTCCCCACCTCCTTGAATATTAAATGGTCGGTCTCTAATCAAGTCCATATAGTATACGTCAACTTTCAGTCATGCGAAGTCACCATTCAACAAAGTACTCCAAGACACATTTGCGTTGACATTTTATTATTTTTAGATTATAGAAAATGTATACACCTTCGAAATTATTGAATGCCAGAATCTTCTTTCTTTGGTGTTCACTTCCACTTCCCTGAAATACAAACAGCTTAATAAATCTCGAGCAGGTATATGAAAGATTTCATATGACGAGAAACATTCATTTCGAGATAAGGTTTTATCAATACTCAAACAATAATGTATAATTCAAGTGACTGATGGAAACAAATTTTAACATTCATTCAGAGACATCAAGAATCAGGTTGAATACAAAACGTGGTACGAGCATAGATTTATATAAATAGATCTACATTCTTAGCATTCATTTCAAGCAAAAAAAACCCCACCAATTAACATGGATATAGACAATGGAATGTAACCGTAAACAATTGTACTTACGTTAACATAATTCACAGCCCAGGGTTTATTTGGTGTGTTCCTCAATGATTCAACATTCTTGATTTTATCTCCTGGAATGGTCGTGTAACATTTTCCCCCTTGCTGCAACGAAAACATATTAAAAAAGTCAAAACTAAAACTATATTCAATAAGCATACATTTAGATCTGTAGTCTAAACAAAAAGATAACATACATTGTATAATTGCCTAAAATTTAGGAAAACTGTAAATCTAAAGTCTTCATGTATAAGGTCCGATCGGAAATAAACTCAGGCTACAGATATAAGTAACAAAATTATGAGTACCATCATAAAAAAAACACCTAATGTAATTTGGTTTTACATATACACCGGTCTGACAAACCAGTGATTGTTATAGTGAGCCACGTCTCACAACCTCTGTCAGAGTACAATGACACACAATCATGTTAGTACAAACATGGTTTGTTGGGGACCTTTTCTAAACCGGAATCCAAACGGGAACAGATATATTTGACAGGCATTGTAGCTAATTACGACTCACATCTTCATCGCAGCGCTGTTTATATAGATCTAGCTACAGTACGATTTCGTAGCTAGCACTGGAACTTACTCGTTCAGTTTTCGATCACCATTTTATTCTCTCTCATTGCGAAAACGTTTCAGAGAACCAAGTATCATATACTTACTACGTTTATTAACATAATACAGTTCAATATCGTTAAATATAATTCTGTAGTATGGTAGCCTACCTGGCAACATACGGAGATCGAAAACCGAACGAATATGGTTGCTATCAATTCCATCAGTCAGGGACGAGCATGGCTTTCCATCTAAGCTTTATGGACGGCTTGCCGACTAAAATGCCACTAATTTTGCAACCCCCAAAAATCCCCATAACCCGGTTACTTTGCAAGCAACACACTCCAACCAGTGCCATACACTAACTGCTCCCTTGCCTCAATGCCCATTGTATTTTTCATTGGTGCACATTGACTAGATCTACACCTATCTCACCTTAATAATCAACAAACGATGACCAAATCACTGACAATGTATGGTGATATTTAACTTTTGATCATCGACTAGCTTATCATCACCAGCGAGAACAATACCGCAAACACCCCGTTATAGCGCGCGACGAGACTCGTTTTACTTTTGCTCGTTTGCATTAGAAGGGAGTCGGACATAGATCATGATGAATTTATTCTTTTTTTTTGGACATATTAAAAATACACATGATAAGCGCCTTGCTCAAATAAACTTTATAGACAGCACCAACAACCATATGATCCACATTTAGGCTACTTCAGTCAGTGCTAATTGGGCCTTTTCGGGAACAACGAGTATGTTTCTGTCTCTTCCCGAAAATACAATTTTTCATAACATCATTGAGCCCTTTAGACTAGGGCTATAACTAGCAGCCTGCAGAGAGTCGATCTGAAAATACTTCCATTGTTTTGATTCCCTCTCTTCGCTGTATAAGAGAAATCTACTCAACCTTTCCCATGGCCTGAATGAGCCACATTGTTTCACAAAAATCAAAGTCAGAATATTAGTACATGTAAACTTTCAGATTTCAGAAATAACACGGAAGAAATGGCGATAACTGTCAGTGGTCAGTAGGCGATGCATACGTTAGGCCTATAGGCCTAGGCCTATTTAGGCCTACAGACCTTATACGCTTACGATCGAAACCCGAACATAATATGACGACCACAAAACGCCGCCAGACTGAATTCTGGTCAAACATATACCTACTGCTTGCCCTTGGTGAAATAATAATATGGTAAAAAGTCATGGGCTTCCTTCACCTCTATATACATCACGTTCTGTGTATCAAATATTACTATCAACACTGACGCTCAGCTCAGTGAAAGTGACCGGCAAACTTCCGAATAATACGATACATTTAAATCATTTGACTATCTGCATGTACAGAAACATATCAACAAGCGGAAACTGCTTTTGTAAAATAACTTACCTTATCCGAATTCACAGATCATCTGTCCAGTTCCCGTTGCTGCACAATCACTTGGTTGTAATATATCCAGAGCGAGTTTGAACTAAGATGGCTGGTGACAACAAATCTTCCGCGACAATGTGACGTCATTTTGACGTCACTTCACGAGGCAACAGGCTAAACTTTTCATCAGTCGCTCTCACGCCGCAAAAAATGCGCGCCAATGTGTTTTTAACTGTAATTGTGCTTTAGACAACATTTAGTAGACAGATAACTTCGTTCATAGATATATATGTTTAAAAAAAATAAAACTACGAGATGGTAGATCTACAAGTGGTTTCCTAAACATCATTTACAAAAAGTGTTGTAATGTCCAAAGCATAACGTTATCACAACGTTAATTTGCAACGTTGTTGTTACGTTGTGGAATAACGTTACAATGTAACGTAATACTAACGTTGTAATAGAGATACGCAATTACGTTCTGGAAATTTTAGTATTAAGAGATGAAAATTCAAATGCCGAATATACAGAAAGGTAATGCATTACTGCCTTGGTATTCTGACAAATTCATGTTGATTTTGATAAAGCAGTTCTATTCCTTTATGACTATCAAGAAGCAAACTTTATAACGTTTCACCGACGTTTCAGAAACGTAGTTACAAAACGTTGTGCGATGTCCGATGCACAACGTTTTCACAACGTGAATGTGCAACGTTGTTATAACGTTGTGAAATAACGTTGCACGTTGACGTTATAATAACGTTGTGACAACGTTATTTCACGACGTTACCAATCCACAACCTTTCCACAACGTTGTGACAACGTCGTGTGTTAGCTGGGCAATAGCTTCATGTTAAACCACACAGAATCAAGTCAAAGAGCATGGACATACATTTAACAAATATATTAGTAGCTCTGGAGAACAAAATAACATGTAATCAATAATTGCTTGGCACATTTTGTCTTGTTCCTTAAACGTTTGGGCAAGATTTACTTTTGTTTCCACAATAATCAACAGATCTTAGAAGGGGTAAGATGTTCAGGATAAGAAACAATATACACTGAATTAGACTTTGTATGATTGCTGTTTTCTGGGTTAAACTTTTGATGTATATTTCATTGCATCCACAACAATCCACCGATTCATCTCAGAAGGGTCCAGAGGTCCTCATTAAGATGCGTAAATAAAAGGATCCACTTGGACATGCATGGCAAAAACTTGATAACCAATCCATCATTTTACTGCAAATTGAGTAAGCCGCATACTATCAATGAACCTTACTACATCTACAGATATCAACAACCACATCCATGACATGTTCCGACCCTGTGTAATCCCCCGGTAGCGTTCAAAGTGAGGTTTGTTGTTATAAATGCTCAAAGGACTTTTCTATTGGCTTAATGTCCAAGTGAAACGAAATATTGTTGTGTGGACAGCATTAACCTTTAAATAAGGCCGTGACACTGTGCGCAACTGTGTTTGTTGAAGGTGTTTATGACATGAGCACAGTAACGTGAAATAATCAAACGTGACCTTCGTTTGGCTTTGTGCTTTCTGTGTGGCATCTATATTCTTGTGTATGTTATCTCTGCCCCTGCTCAACTACAGAGGGAGCAGGCTCACGGATGAAGTACAAATGGTAGAATAAGCCTGCCTTTTGTTGAGAATACAACTGATAGGTTCTTTGTGGTTTAAGATATGTGCTATGATGATTCACAATTTGATCGTTAGTGTTTTCTGCTAAACCCTGCACCCAGCAATATTCCAACAATGACGGCGGCCTGTAAATAATCGAGTCAATCCAGACTATCCAGTGATTGATATGAGCGATGATGTACGCCGTCTTGGTACAATGACACAATCGACAGCGCACTTCTTCGAATATCCTTTACGATGAAATACAGTGAATTTATGTTTATGATCCTGAATTCGGTTTAATATTTATATTCAGGGGTGGGAAGATATAGGTTCATACAGACGACGGGGGCAAAATAAAAATATTTCATTTTCTTGGGTGGCAGAACTTTAATGACTGGGATGAGATACACGCATAGCAATACAGATGATAACGCAGATGGGATAACGTGTGAGGAATCTGTGAGCAAGGCGTTGATGCTGATATGAATTAAAAAAGAAAGGTTCTGATGAGAGTGCTGGAGAGAGTACCAGGTTATATTGATGTATTCCCGTCTTTGACAGGGAACGGGCGGCTTGACGACCTCGAGATGACCATAATTGCCGTTAGCACGACCACGGGACAGTTAATAATGTCACAGAGCACAATTGAACACCGCCCTGAAGACTAAGGGTAGGATAAGTCAACCCATGGTTGCCGTAAAAGGCGACCACCTGGATAGGGTGGTTAGACTCGCTGACATGGTTGATGCATGTCATCGTTTCCGAATTGCGTGGATCTATGCCCATGATGTCAAACACTGGATTGTCTGGTCCAGACTCGATTATTTACAGACCGCCGTCATATGGCTGGAATATTGCTGAGTGCGGCTTTAAACAACAAACAAACAAACAAACGACATATAGGGATCGTAGATCCGACTGATTGGTGTTTTGTGTCCGATAAATTTGATCAGGTTAAGATTTTAAAATTCGTTTTGTTTCACTAGTGGGAGCGGCAAAGAAGGCAGTGAGCACTTGAAAATTGATTTGTAAGGACTCATTTTATTATATTGGCATCACTGATTCCAGACTACGGCAATCCCACAGAAAATAACTGGATCGGCGCGGAGTAGAAGGTGTATATGTATAAAAAGAGAGACACGCTGCACTGACTGAAGAAATCGGTGATCGTGAATGATATATAACTGGTCGTGTTAAAACATGCATTGTGGTGCTATTTTCGACGATGTTGCTTTTTCAAATATAAACTGAAGCACTTTAAGAACGCAACGTCCTCGTTTATTTGATATATTGGGGCACGGGTGGCCCAGTCGTTTAAGTCGCCGCAATTCGCTGTGTAGAGTTGCGTCCCTTGGGCATGCCAGAAATCAATGATCGTGGTTTCGAATCCCAGTTCGCCCCGATTGTGTTTCCAGGTTTGTCAGCGCCATACCCGTGCTCGTGGGTTGGTAAACGCGTGATATAACTAAGATCACTGTTCAAATCGGCGTTAAACCCAACTCACTCACCCACTCACTCATACATGTCATAACAAAATGTATGACGTTTCGTCTGTAGAGTTGCTCCAAAGATCGGAGAGTGTGTGCATAAAAGTACAAATATCATGAAGACTGGCGAATGTGGTGAGCTTGAGTTATGTAAAACTTAGTACTGTTATACTGTGCACCATGGAGCTATTTTCCATGATATTACTTATGTATACAGATGGGGTCTGGCCCACTACAACATGTATTATACTAAAACACTCTGAAAAAAGGAACGATCTAGTTTCATCATATTGTCTTGCTAATGACGATGAAAGTTGTTCTAAATTGTTAAGTCATGTATTATGGTATGAAGATCGGGGTAATTTTGTGTCTATATTTTATGTTCTGCTCTACTGTGTGTCACAAACACAAGGAATACCGTTGTAAGAGACCGCCTCCGCGGAATAGTGGATAGATCGTAAGTCCGGAGAGCGGAAGGTCGGTGGTTCGATCCCCGGCCGCGTCATACTACATTGATTAAAAGATCACGGACTCGTTGTAGTAAGGTTCGTCGCAGTAAAGGCGGCATGAGTCCGGACTAGTACAAGCAGCGACACACACACACACACACACACACACACACACACACACACACACACACACACACACACACACACACACACACACACACACACACACACACACACACACACACACACACACACACACACACACACACTAACACACACACACACTAACACACACACACTAACACACACGCACACACTAAGACACACGCACACACTAACACACACACACTCACACACTAACACACACACAGACACACTCACACACACACACTAACACACACACACTAACACACACACACACACTAACACTAACACACACACACACACTAACACACACACACTAACACACACACACTAACACAAACACACTAACACACACACACTAACACAAACACACTAACACACACACACTAACACACTAACACACACTCACACACTAACACACACACACACTCACACACTAACACACACTAACACACACACACACTAACACACTAACACACACACTAACACACTAACACACACACACACACACACACACTCACACACAAACACACACACACACACACACGCCACCTTCTTTTGCGCGGAAATATAGACGTATATTCAACGAGAAAACAATCCAGTCTCACTGTATATTTATACCGACTACATATTAATAAACATTGGATCACCATAAAAGTATAGTTTTTCTGATTAGATCGATAGAGTAATATCGAGTCGGACTGGAAATCATATAAAGTGCTTGATTTGATCATTTGCAAGGGTAGATTTGTTCTCGTGGCTGCTGTTGTTCGAGAAAACATGAACACGTTATTGATAATAATTCTATTGAAACATGTAGGATGCCCCGAGGCATGACGTCAGCACTATGAAAGCATCAAATGCTACATTAGTATGATCCCCGCTACCGGATACTCCTGTTGTCGGTTCAAGTCGACATGATGGCGTGGGTCAGCCTTGGTTATACAGGATAATAATCATACATCAGGGGTTTCAAATAGCATTGTGCATTTCAAGACAGACAGATATAATGGCTTGGTAAGAACAGATTGTTGATTACAGATGAAGCATTCTCTTCGCCCTTACGTTACCCACTGTGTCGGGTCGATCATTGCTGTTATAGAGAACAGAGAGGTTCAAGAACTCCCTTCGATAGAGCGCCTTAGAGCATATATATAGCTGGTATGGGTTGTAGAATATACCATATACAGATGGTGCGGGAACTCTTTGATAACAGCCTGAACTACGTACAGTGTGTATATGGTTGTATGATAACAATACTCTGTTATTGAAAGAATGTAGTTTCATGTAAAAAAAACAACACTGTCATTTCCCCTTATCACTTTAGTAACATTAGGTGTAATTGGGGTGAAGGGAAGCAGAGAA